CACAGAGGATTTTGAACTCCTCTGTCTGCTACTCCAGGGCCCCATCCGTTTGAAATGCCTTCAGCTTCTCCCCTTCGCTTTGTTTCTCTGACATCCTTAACCACATATAGAAGCAGTCGTATCCGACGTGGCGATTAGAGATATTCGTAGCTCAGACGAAGCGCGTTCCGGCATCGATGAAGGTGATTGTGTCTGCTCCTTTTTTAGTCCTTTTGCCGTAAGTACTAGAAAGTCGCTGTAGACTTTGTGGAGTGGTTTGTAGCGCTCGGCTCCAGGGGTTTTCTCGGCGAAAGGAGAGTGACGTAGCGGCTTCTGGTCAGACTGTGCAGTTAAGTAAGTCTTTCCTTGGTTTGAGAAGCCTTTCGTCGAGTAACAGCAATGCTTCTTCGGCACACTTTAGCGTTGATGCAGTTGTTGAGGACTTCTATTGAGGGATGTCCAAGTCTCTTGTGCCAGATGTCGGCGTCAGCGCGGTATCCTCATGTGCGGGCATACAGCTGTTTCTCTCGTGTTGATATCTATTCTGCAGTTTCCTTCTCCACTCTGTCTACAGGTTCTTCCGGCACGAAGACTTGGACTGCTTCTGTGCGGACGGCTTCGGTTCTCATCCCGTGGTATTCTCCGCTGGAGTCGCCAATGGTTGAGGTGTCAATCATCACAGGAAGTTGTAGTGGTCTTTCCGGGGACTTCGTTCTCGGTTGCCAATCTTCGGGCTGGATGAATTCACATTCTTCAAAGTCGGTGTTGCCAATTGCTACTCTCCTTGTCTCGAGACGAAATTAACTGCTTTCGTCCATCGTGATCGGGACAAGGTGAGGTCCGAATTCAGTCAATGACTCTTCTTCCTTAGGTGGGTGTGCAGCACCTAGGGCCTCCTATCGGGATGTTTCCATTTCGAGCGGTGGATGTGTTCGAAGCAGAGTGGGACAAGGTCGATGAGCTCGTCCGTGTCACTAATGCAGTCGGGAATATCAAAGTCGAGGATGCACACGACGTTGCTAGAGTGCGCTTGTCCGATCTGCTTGCACGGTTTGTTCGGCGCCCTGTAGTATAGTAGGACATCGTGGATCTTGGGGTGGTGCTGAGGTTGACCCCGCGATCCATGAGTTGCGCCGTCGAGAGGAGGTTGAAGAGAAGGTTCTGCATGATCAGCACATCGTTCAGTGTGATGTGCATCCTGCTCCCATGCACCTTGAGGACCACAATGCCTTGCGCGCTTGCGCACAGGCAATTGTTGTTCGCCACGGTAATGTATGTGACAGTGGGGGTGGCGACGACGTTCGATATAAATTGCTCGGAGCCCGCCATATGCCGCCCACAGTAGCTATCCAGGTACCACGTGTTGTAATGCCTGTTGTTGGCACGCGCGAGCAGCGCTAATCGCGGCGTGATGATGTGCGGGGTATCAAACTTCAGGAATCGCTCGCACGAAATCCAGTCGATGGGTGTCGCCCGTGAGACAGGTGCGTGTGGAGGGCTTTCAAGTAGCCGTGAGATCGTTGTTGTCATTGAATTCACGTTCGTGAACGCCCCGATTGGATGGCGCGCTGGCTCGGGAGGCGGTGTGCGTACGCGGCGACGACGAGTTCCACGCGTGTGAGTCATTGTCATGTTGCTAATGACATTGTGCACGGACCCAGGTTGCAACGATTGCTATTGCTGGTGCTGAACCGTTGGGTTCAGGTTGCGCGATGGGGGCTTATGGCCCTGGGCTTGGTGTGAGTCGTTCAGCGCGTCTTGTCGGCCGATCCAAGTGCTCGGACTTGACTGGCGGGGGTGAGAGCGGAATTCGCATCGCTCTGCCGAGTGCTCGAAGTTTCTGCAAAATCTGTAGTAGAGGCGCCGCGGTCGCTGCTCTTCTGCGTTGTCGGCGTAAAAGGCGAGACATTCTCGATCTTGTTGTGACGCTGGTCGATGCTGATCCATGTCTCAATGCTCGAATAGGAGGGCGGCGCATTGGGTGGCTTTTGAGATAGCCCCCTGTTGCCAGAGTAGCGCCTTGCAGGGTCGCCATTCTGGGCCGAGTCCTGCGAGCACGATGTCCACAAATATTTCCTCCGAAATCAAGCTCCCAATTTTCGCGATTTGATCGCGTAAGCTCTGGAAACGATTGATATCGCTATTGACCTTCTCCTTTGGTGCCATTTTTGTCTCTAGTAACTGCTGGAGCAGGCGACTTCATGAAACGGAGTCCTTCGGTTGGTACACACCATTGAGGTGTCGCTAGGCTTCAAGTGTTGGGGCGGACATCGTCTTGTAGGAACGAATTCCAAGTTGCTCCGCTGTCGACATGTTGCGGAGAAGCACGCCGTACGCCATGAGCCATTCATTGCAATACTGCACCTTGCGTCATCACAGTCGGTCGTGGGTCCCGCGTAGCTCACGTCAAAACAACGAAAAATCTGCGTGTTCTGCAGCAGTAGCTCCAGCTCGAAGCTCCACGTACAGAAATTTCCGCCATCAAAACAAACATTTGTCTTTATTTTTCATATGCTCAAAAACCTTGATTGAGCTGAGAGAATTGCTTCTTCCTGGGACAAGGAGTTTTGGGTGTTGAGACAATTGTGTTGAGGGAGAAGGTGTGCGAGGCGATATCGTGGCCATTCGTGGCCGGTTGAGAGGGTTGGGAAGATGTTTCCACGTCTCCATTCCGCAATGTTTGGAGCCCTTGCTCCAGGGCCGAAAGTCGCTGGAGCAGTTGTTTGAGTGCGACGGTGCTGATCGTCGTCGTCTCCTCATTTGTCATAGTTGGGTTGACTTGCGTTCAACGGTCAGATTTGTCTGGCTGCTGGATCCTCCGACCATCTTTGCGCAAGAGCGCGTGCCGAACGCCACTTTAGTTCGCCGAAAATTTCGGGGTGGCGATGCAAAGGATTCCTGAGTCGCTCTCATACCATGTTGCGATCAGAAGGTTGATCGTTCCTAGGATCACCTCAGGAAGATTCGCAGAGATTGAGTGTTGTAGCGGAAGATATTGACCTCAGGTCAGAACGACTTAACTGGCCTTTTACTTGAAGGGGTACATTTCCTTATTACAGCCAACTCCAACCGTGCGACTCCAGACGGTTACAAACTGTTCGCGGCAGAATCCTCGCCACTGCAGCTGCCCGATGTTGTCGGCCTTGATGGTTCAGATGCTTCATAACCGTATGCGACCATTCGCGTCAATCCGCCTCTTCGCCTTCGTACTCTTTACAGCGTGCTTCACATGCTACTGTCAAGAGTGTACATTCCTTTTTCACCATTTATTATCCGTATCACTGCTTTCTTATGGTCAACTGCATTGCTCTAGGCAAAGGGGATTTTAACGGAACAGTCACCTGGCAGATAGGCCAATCACATATGCTTTGAAAAACCCGCCAACTGTAACGAGTTACCGGTACTGGTCTAGCTGGGGTAACATCCCTGCAGCTTATTAATAAGGGCATGGCAGGTACTAGGGTCTCACTTTTGATGACCGAAACATTTGAGATGCTGCACCAGGAGTAACAATCTAAGCCAACACACAAACCGAGCTTCTTGGGGGTATCACTGTATCAAGCCTACTGTGAGAACTAGGTAAAACGAAAATGTCGAGATTGGGAAGGAAGGGGAGTACAAGAAGCAAACCTAAAAGGGTTGTACCCCCTATAGCTAGCATCACTATGGCCTATCTGAATAACATACACATACACATACACATATGTTTGACACACCCCCATAGGTTAAGTGAGGGATAGCAAGACCAACAAAGGGTGACCAGTTAAGAGAAGAAGCAAAGCAAAGCAAAACTCAGGGTGGATCTCAAGATCACCACACATTCAGAGCACAAGCAAGCGGCCACAAGGCCAGTTCACAGGCAGTTTGATAATAACACAAGAAGTACAATGATTACAACCTACCAACCTGAAGCATGCAGGTTTATATATCAAAGTACAAAGCAAGATCAAGAGACAAGCAGGTGAGGCAGAGTGGGCACAAACCCAAGAGCAGTGCACAAACGCTGAGGATCACGAGACCCAAGGGCCTTCGTGAAGACATCAGCAGTGTTGGCCTGTGTGGCCACGTAAGCAAGACGAAGCTGTCCACGCTGCTGCAGCTCTCAAGCAAGGAAGTAACGGTGAGCAATGTGCTTCGTTCTATGCTCCGGTCTTTGGTCCTGACACAAGGCAATCATGGCCTTGTTGTCGACGTACGGAACTGGAGGAGAACGAGGCCGTTCACCAAAGTTGGTTAGCAGGTAGGTCAGCCAGCGGAGCTCCTGTGCAGCCATAGCCCCAGCGTAGATCTCGGCCTCGCAGCTGGAACTAAGTACAGAAGAAGAGCGAGTGGACCTCCATGAGACAGAACCAGTGCCGAGGCTGAAATTGTACTCCAGTGTCGACCAGTGAGTCGTCTGGTCGTCAGCCCCAAAAGCGTATGTGTAACGGGCGAGAACAACTGAACCCCGTCCTTCAAGCACGAGCCCCATGCCCGATGTACTGCACAAATAACGCAATACCCTCTTCGCAACTTCCCAGTGCACCTTTCGGTGTCTACCGGGAGCCACGTAGCGATCCAAGAGGCTGAGAGGGTACGCGAGGTGAGGTCGTGTGCACGTCATCAGATACATGAGGCAACCCACAAGCTATGGGCACGGACCACTCGGCTCTACAGACTCCTCCGAAGGTGGAGCTGAGAGCGAGTGGCCGGTAGACAGAGGAGTGGGCTGTGGTGAGGACCACGACAAGTCGAAGCGCTGAAGGACCTGCTGCACCACGTGTGACTGAGTGAGGGTGACGGGGCGGTGTGCTCTGTCCCGGGTGATGTGCAAGCCAAGATAGCTCCGCAGCTCATCCAGCTCACAGAATGCAGCCTAAATTCTTAGCCATTGAAACTCCATAATCCAACAAAGTCCTACAAATATCGCACTCAAGTGGTACCGGCCTGATGTGTCGCTTCCACAATTTCAGACCATGCACTTGCTAGTACCACTGTCGCCAATGTTCTCACATACATGGGCATACTCATGCACCTAGCTCCTATTTCCCCACCACCTCCTCTCTGACAGCCTGTAGCTCCTTGGCAATGTACGCCATGCTTGGGCGGCTTGCAGTGCGCTCCATGGTGCAGCTCACTGCCAGCTCAGCCAGGCGCAGCACCGCATCATCAGGGGCGTCCATACGCGCATCCTTGAGGCTCTGTGCGGTACTGGAGGAGACGCACTCCGACGCCTGAGGGAGATTGAGAGGGGATGATGCTGAACAGGAGAATCAAAGACAGGAAATGTGCTGTAGAACCCAAGCAAACAGTAATGATGAAGTATTTTCTTCTCCTACGTTTTCTTTTTTGCTTCAGTCACTTTCACATAGAAGGTAATTGACCACCCATGCTAGAGTACGATTGAGGATAGAAAAAGCTTCAAAACTTGCCACTTCGAGGATGTGTTTGGTCTCCTCAGCAGACTGAGAGGAAGGAGGGCGTCCAGTGAGCACCACAAGCATGAGCACACCAAAGCTGTAGAGAGGGAGGGAGGGCATGCGGGCGGAAGGGGAGTTGAGGGACAACCAATTAGTCATATGTCCATGCCCATCCTATCTTCAAAAATGCATTGTGATAGGGTAGGTAGTGCCACCAAAAGAATTAATACAGGGTAAGATGGAGAATACATGAACAGCGCATGGGGGTATACAGTTACACAACGGACCAATGGAACACTCAATGGTTAGCAGGAACGATGACATGAGAGTCTGCTCTGGACTGCTGGTTCACTTGCAGTGCAGGCAGCTGCTCGAGACCCCCGTGTCACCTGTAGACATCACTGGCGGTGGTGGCCTTTGACGTCTTGGAGTAGATGGGATCCACAAAGCCCGGTGTTCCCATCACTCGAGTCGTGCCCACTGTCGTGCCCTCTCCCACCCTCAAAAGGCCAAAGTCTGCAATCTTGGCCTGGCAGGTGGCATGGTTATTGTAGCAAAAGTTTGAAAGATGTAGTAGAGAAGATGAATGTAGGGGGGTTCTTTGAATAAACAGTATCGTACCGCTAGACAGGATATGGCTTTATTGAGACAACACACTCCCAAGAAAAAACACTTTAGCAGGAAATCGACCGCTGGGCGGTTTTTATAACATTTCCCACGCCCAATTTAGCCTCCAGCTTACAGCATTGCCCAATTTTAAAGAGAAGCTCGCTCCTCTCCAGTGACCTATGCCTGAGCAAATAAGCTTTATGTGTGTCAGTTCCCCTGAATCTCGTTATAATAGACCTATGATCGGGTTCGCCCCGAACGTACAGTGTTCGCCCCCCTATCACGAACACCGAACACCTAAAATCGCCAAAACATGTTCGGTTCGGTTCGCCCACAAGACATGTTCGTGGAGGTTCGGGCGAACATGTTTGGTGTTCGCCCGTTGCTCATGCCTACCTATGATAATGCTTCTACTTGTTGAGAAGTTTGGGGATCTAATTTTTTAATGATAACACCTTTGCATTTGATTCGGTTGAGGGGCAGAATTTACAATTCAAGTCAAACCAACCGGCACTTGCCTGCATGTCGGCGGTGATGAGGATGTTGGCGGGTTTAATGTCGCGATGCACAACGCGAAAGCTATGGAGATACTCCAAACCATGCGCTGCACCGATAAGAACATCCAGCCGCTGCCTCAGGCTCATAGAAGTAGCTGAATCTGCAAGCATTCAGCAGCACAAGGGATGGGTCACAAGCATGGGACTAGCAGCTCATCAAGAGTCACACAAAACACGCACGCACGCATGCACACACACGCCCATGAGGTGTGGCATTCAATACCTGGATCGATCCACTTGTGGAGGTCACCGTTGGGCACAAACTCGTATATCAAGACCTGCTCTCCCTGTGACCTCACGTCCCCTCCCACTGCAAACCCAAGCAGGCGCACGATGTTGGGATGGTTCTTGTTGGCCATTTGCTGGACCTGTGGCACAGAAACGCACAGCAAAGAGAACTCGGAAGCAGTGAGAGCAAGAACCCACAACAAAGCCAAGCATCCCGACAATTTGAAGTGGGGGAGGGGGGGAGGGTGGGGTGAGTGGTACTTTTCTTTTTGCGTGCATTGCATCATGGACCAGTAACCCTCTGGTATTCATTAAACAATTCCCTCTATCAGGGCTCTGACGCATCATGGTAATAAAAAAAAAACAGGCATCCCCACTCACCTCCTTCTGGAAGCTTGCGTCAATGAGCTTTGCGCGCTTGACAGCCCAGGGTGTGGTGCCATCGCGGGGAGAGACGCCCTTGTAGACATCACCAAAGGCACCCGAGCCAAGCAGGTTGTCCTGCGACCAGTCGTTGGTGGCCTTGAGCACCTCCTCCAGTGAGAACTCCGTGCAGTGTGACGCTGCCAGACTGCCTCCCAGGCCTGCCAGTAGGGTGGGGGTGAAGGGTGGAGGTTGATGCAGGCTGACGGGTGAAGGGCAGCACACTGCAACACACAGAGAATTTTATGGGTATTTTTTTTTCACTTGTTTCTGTTTCTCGCTCACTACACGTCTGACCATGAACAATGGCAGGCTTCGCTGCAATGCAGGGTATAAGTAAGGGCGGAAGAATATAGACCTCTTTGCTTACACGGGGATGTCCAGACGTGAGTGATTTTTCATAGAGTCACCTGAGTAAACCAAAATCTATGGTCGATATGCATCGTCTTACCAGCTGTCCCCTGCTGCCTCTTGTGCCTCAAGTAGAGCAGTAAGGCAGCCAGAAGCAGGAGAAGAATGGCGACTGCAGCAACAACTATGCCAATGATGGCTCCCACTGTTAAACCACCTCCAGATGCTGCTGGGGAAGAAGAGTCGCTGCCACTGCCGCTGCTGCTGGTAACTGCTTCAACTTGGACAGAAAATACAGCAAACGCGAGTTGGCATAACCAAATAGAAAGAAAGAGAGTTAAAAAGTGCAGATAAACAGCCCATTAAAAAAAAAAAAAGAGTGCAGAATTGATTATATTACTCAACCTGTCGAGTGTCAGAAGCAAGTGCTACAACGCAACATGCCAGAACAATTATCCATTCCTTCACCTTTCTTGCTGCTCTAGACTTTTGAGGCGCCTCAAAGATATTGTGCTTCACCCAAATGATATGTGGATGTTTACTTTCGCAATATCGTGTGCAGCCTTCCTCATGCCCAGCCCTCATCATCTTCTCACCATCTGGAGTGCCGCAGGTTTGGCAGAAGGAGGGACACGCCTGGCAGAATGATGAGTTGAGCGATTGGGAGGGACCACAGCTGGTGTGGTCAGCAGGGCATGTGAGGCCGGTGCCACTTATGTTCCTGGTGCGGGGAGAAGAGTAGAGAGGGGAAGTCGGAAACAATAGGAATGCTCTTAAAACAAGGGCCCACATTGAGGCTGGGTGGATAAAGAATTATCATTTGCCCACCATTTTGCCAGAGCGAAGGAGTTGGCGCACGGAAGCTTTTATTCTGCATTCTCATTGTGGCATGAATGTGGGCGATGGTTTGACAATACAAAAGTTGGTTGCCAACTTTGAGAAAGAGATTCTCCCCACCAGAGTGCCCTGCATGATTGAATCAGCCTCTTTGTTCAAATTCCACACCACACCCACAGGTTCAAAACACACGAAAACGCACACACGAGTCAATGTGGTTGCCTGATGTGCCAAATGTCAGAATATAGCATATGCATGTTTATATTTGTGCAAGTGTTACACCCAAACGTGGGTGCACTCGTTGGGTCCAGGCGCCCCAATCAAACCCAACTCCATCGCGATTGATGGGGGAGCCAAGAATGGCCCATCCAACCATTATAACCCCTACTTTAGAAGTTGATAACTACCCAAACACTTCTTGTGCCGCCAATCTCATTGGTCCACCAACAATGTTGAAGGCCCCCCACCTAGTTCCCCAACCAATCCTCTCCTATAATAACCCACCTTTTTCCTAATACCAGCAACACTTGAGATTCTTTCACCACATACAGTGAGTCAAGCGACGTGAAGCCTCCCAGCGAGCTTGGCAGCGTTCCATTGAGGCTCGTAGCGTTGAATCTCCTACAGAGCGAGCAGCAGGCGGTATAAGAAACACTCATAGTATAACAAACTGCTGTGAGACAAGAACAGCAATCATGGTAGGTAGGGATGGGAATGAAGGAAGAAGCACAGGTATCGCCCCACCCATGGGAGAGCAAGCGGTTTCAGTGCCATGGAAATGTTTCCAGAAAGCAAAAACCGTCAATACACCGGAAACCACTCGCGATGCAACACGGAAGGAAACTGAATGCATGACAAAATAATATCTTCTTACAAGGAGGAAAGCTCGGATAGAGTCCCAAACGTGTCAGGCAAAGGCCCGCTCAATTTATTATTGTCCAACCACCTGAAATACACGACATGATAAACTCTCGGTTACTCCATGTGTAGCTAACCTCATTCGCATAGCAATATGCGACAACAATACTGTTGTTAAAAAGACCTGGCAAGAAGTGCGGACGAGTTACCAAAGTGCGCAAACGAGTTTGTTTTTGCACATGAAGGCCTGGTTTTGCAGGTGCGCACAATGTCATGTTATGTCTACCAGTTCACAGGGTATTAAGCTTGGGGTGATACGTTCTCGCGAATTGAACTCACAGGAGTTGGAGGTGACTGGCATAGGCGATGGAGGATGGGATGGAGCCGCTTAGCTGATTGCCACTAAACACGCTGCCCACCCCAAGAGCGCACCACGGTCCACACATGTATTCTTGGGGGTGAGCACGTTCAATGAGGGAGGCTAGATGAAGAATTGTACGACATAAATAGCAACTTAAAGAGCAGCTCAGATAAAAGAGGATTTTGCAGCAATCAATGACACAAGGAGACACAGGCTGTTTTTGTCGTAATGAGTCACTTACATGCTGGTGAGTGCAGAGGACTGATTGAGGAACTCGGGAATGGAGCCATTAAGCATGTTGTTGGCAAGATCCCTGATAACCAACCAAGAAAGTACAATCCTAAAAAAATACCCCCTGCACATCTGAGCGAGCCTGCTATTGCCAAACAAGGAGTTCATTTTAATGCCTTCTGAACCTGCTTGCAAGGTGCAGCAAATCCCAGAACATTTTGCAGTGTTTTGGCAAAACCCCTGTTTTTAATGTTACCACCCCTAGAAGTTAAGCTGTAATCCCAGTCTCCACAATCGCAGCACCTTGAATTCTGACAACCCACCCAAACAGGATTCGTTTGGATACGAACCCTTCTCTTACACAGACGTGCACATACAGTTCGATCAGCCCAGGGAGGTTGACGATGCCTGGAATACTCCCAGAGAGCTGGTTATCGTTCATGTGCCTGCCAACATGGACGTGTGTGAGTATGGCGGTTGCATGGCCCATAGGCATCAGGTTGAGAAGCCTCAGTTCAGAAGCTATTCGAGCACCTGCTCATCTGTATGCACACATAGTACGCATGGCAATAAGCCCTTGAAAAGGGTGACTTTCGAGTCCACTCAGAAGACATTCGTAGAATCCATAGCAGTAAGCCCTTGGAGAAGCCCCCCCCCAAGAAAGACTTACATAATATTGTCCTTTGTTGCCAGTGCACTAAAGCAGACCTCGTTTACACTCACCAAGTTGTGAGTGAAGCGACTCACAGGGCTTGAATTCTGGCAAGGCTCTGCGTGGTGATGGGAATGGGCCCACTGAGGTTGTTGTGGGACACTTTCCTGGGGACACAGGCAGCACAACCATGAACGCCAAAAAACAATGAAGAGTTATACAATGGCAGCAGCAATGTAAGAGACACAGTGACTTGAGAGTTCACAGACTTATTTCTTCATATGGAGCTTGAGCGCAGCTGGAAACGGAGTGATTTGGGAGTGGTGCGGCTGACATGAATTCGTCTAGTGTGAGTGAAGTACATTCCTTCCTCTCAAGTTTTTACCCTCAAATGTTAGCACATCATGGCACTGCACCACACGAAGTACGTGCCTGCTCTGTGGACCCATGGGGAATACAAACTGGGCAGGAACGTGGCGACTACTAACACCATACGAAATCGAAATAGAGCATGCACGAAATAGCCCACACGTGGCGTTAGACCTTCCACTTCACCAGCGGTGCGTGCTTATACAATATGCTTTTAATTCTGTTTTTGCACCCACCCAAGGGTGAAAACATTAGACTGCTCTCTGCTAATTTGCCTAAAGATTATATTGAGAACGTGTGCACTTAAGGATCCGAGTATGGAAAGACTGCTAATCCTTTCAGGAATGGTGCCATCCAGTTGATTGTGGGATGTCGATGTGAAAGATGGAAAGGATGGGAAAGTTGGAAGTGAGGTACATTGATGGAGATCACACTATGTGTCACGCAGGACAAGCGTAGAGTTGCGAAGCATGAAATAAGCACCAAGAAGCTAATAGGGAAATGGCCGCACGATGATGGACAGGCATGGAAGGTTTTTGTGAGCAATTGTCCCCTTGATTTGTTTGTTATCATGTGGCCTTTTTTCATCTCCCAAGTTGGACAACACGTGAAATAGCTGATCACAGAATTGTTGCAAAATGCATACATCTGCCATAAGTTGGTGATCTCCATAAGCGATTCTGGGACCGGTCCAGAAAAGCTGTTGTTATCAAGATACCTGTTTCAGAATGGACAATACAGCCTTAAAAAAAAAAAAAAAAAAACATTTTGTCACAATCTCATGCCATATTTACATAGAAGCGGAGCAGTTTGTTTTTCAAATCTGCAAGGGGAACTGAATCTCATCACCTATTCGATTAGTTTGCTGAATTGGGGTAGACAATAGCGCTCGACCAAAACTGCATACACTCTCAACTCAAGCATCCGCCAGGCCCCTCATTGAGCACAACTGCATGACCTGACTCCCCCCCTCCAACTCACCTGCACAGCTTTTACTCACAGACAGAGGTAGAACCGGTACGATTGCTGGAGTACTCACAGATACTCCAAGCCAGTAAACGTGCCAAGAACAGCAGGAATGGAGCCGCGGAGGTGATTGGCACTCATATCTCTGATGGCACACAGAGAAGAGCCCGAGGGTGTAGCATCGGAAGAAAGTATGCGAGGTATGGGAGCGGCAAAGGAAGGGAGTGAACTATGCCAGGCAGGGTCTCACGTAAGAGAAATTGTCATCAACTGCAAAACAATTGAAACATTTGAAATACTCGTTATCTTTCACGAGTAACGAGTCAGTATTAAGGGCAAAATTACTCGAGCGAGTAATACTCGGGTCGACTCGTTTCCAAAACGAGTCGGCTGAAAACGAGTCGAGTATCACTTGACTCGGCCTTTGCTCATGCCTATGGCTGGCCATTATGTTATTGCAGCTTAGTATTTTCCTCAACCCCAAAATCATCCAAACGCTGTGCAACTGCAATAATGATTCCGCTTCTCATAGCAAAATTCATGAGCAGCCCCCCACCCACCTGCACGCAAGGCACGTGCAGGATTTGTCTCTACAGCAGGGTCACCGTGTGTGTGGAGTGGACAACCACTCTCAGCTTGAGTTCCATTCCAACACAAGATGAATAAGGTACTGATAACTTAAGCGGCCATACTCCCCTCGCCAGTGCTGCTAACCACAAGCTCTTGCTGACTGACTTTCGAAAACGTTGGCCAACAATCTCGATCAAAACATTTCTGCAGCCTGCTATTTTCAGCTCAATGAGATTGAGGCATGGATTAGCATGGCATGGGTTCATTCATGGGTGTGCAATAAAACAAAGGGCTGACCACGCCACTGAACAAGAAACCCTACAAGAGGACGATCCGAGCTGGCTTGTCACAGGTCACCCTGGCCCATGTCTGGCCACGACCAGCTCACCCTTTTGGCAAAATTTGCACAAGAAGCAGGGCTCCCTAACACAGCTCGTCCCAACTCAGCTCATCCCGAGCCAGCCTGGGACCGCCTTAATCAGAAGCAGGCTCATCCTGATACGCCAAAATCCGGCTTGTCTTGGAGCCATGAAGTGCGCATGCTTACAACCGAATGACACCTAGCCGCCGGGCACTTGGGTCTAACATGCAAAGCACTGTGCTGACAATCTGAAATGGATTCATCTGACGTGGTGGATGTAATGTTTGGGGACAAAGTTAGCGCTCATAAGGTTCACAAAAGGGAGCGTTGTCAACGCCTGAGCTCATAAGTATAATCAGTTTTGGGGGCAAGGAGATAGAAGTGAGGGAGAGTTACAGATATGTGAGACGGGTGAGGCGAGCCAATGTTGTTGGAATGGATCCAGTGAAATTGTTGAGTGACACTATCCTGCCAGCACAGCACGCGCACAATCGAGTCGACCATACCTTGTCATGAATAAACAGTTTGTGCACTTCCTTGTAGGCAGCAGACAGTAGAGATAAAAAAAGCACATCAATAAATATCTTGTGGGAAATAAAGCAGACATGGTACGAATTGACATGTACAGTGCAAATTTAGGAAGGGACGAGCACGCATGATGATGATGTCTTTGCAGCAGGAAATGAAGAAGATGGTTGAGCAAGTGAACTGCTGAACTGGTGATTGGTGAACTGGTGATTGGTGACTGACTGGTGCGGGTGCCAATGGCTCAACTGCCTACGTTTCATGGGGTGTTAACGATAGCGCATGAGCTGAGAAGGTTGGTTATTGAGGTGACAGAAATACGGGTATATCATTCATGCATTGTCAGCAAAACGCAGTGAAGAGTTACATCACATGCATGTTGATAATGGATACAAGAAATCTAAAAGGGAACTACGAGAGTCAATCAAGACGCTAATTAGCCAAAAGGGTTACTTGTTCTGAAGCCAAACAACAACAAAGATGTCCTGTGGGCACCTCGCACACTCAAAGGAAGGCAGTACAACTGACATAACTCACAGATATTCCAAGCTAGTCATGCTGCCAATCGTCGCAGGAATGGACCCACTCAAGATATTCTCTCTGAGATCTCTGATGGTGTGGTTGTAGAAATGCAAGACGAGGAGAACAGATTCAATGGAAGGGAAAAGTGAGGGAGAAATCAGGGGCTCGGAGGCCAGGAGGATTAAAGTAACAGCCACGCTTATAATAGAGTGCCTATTCCAACTGAAGAGCATATCTTGCGAAAGTATGCAACCATTTTCCAGCTCCAACTCCAGGGGGTCGCTTAGTTGAACAATCCTGCGAATGCGTCTTGGTGCGTTGGTGCATCGTAGACATACACACTGATGGTAAGGAAGCCAAGCCCACGGGTGCTAAAAGAGGCGGCCAGAGTCCAGGCATGACCATGAGGGCAGGCGAGACCAAGGACGTGCATGAGGACGAAACTGCATACGAGACTGTCTAGACCTTTTGCATCAGTAAACCAACTGATTCGGCAAAACATTGGTGACGATTTTTTTTTGTATGGGAGATGCACCTTTATTGAACTGCATATGCTACAGCTTGAGAAACGTTGTGAACACCTGTAGAGACACCTGGCGGCCTTACTGTTTTATCTTACATGGCCCGCATGGTGGACAGATTGCTAAAGGCTTCTGGTAAAGGTCCGCTCAGACGATTCGTCCTTAAGGATCTGAAGGGTCCACGAATGAAAGTGTACATGGTAGGAGTGGAGGCATGGAACAAAGGGAGTGAAAACAAGGAACATTGTTTCTCAACGAGGAAGGGAAGGGATGGAGAGAGGAGAATGGGAAGAATACAAACAGGAAAGAGGCAGGCGTGACAGCAAGAAGACAGTGCATGTGCAGATGAGAGGGAGACATGTGCCCAAGGGAAGGGAAGGGTTTTGTGCGCGCAGGAAAGGAGGCACGAGCGTGGACAGGACAGAATGCAGACGCCAAGAGTGTGAGGGTACAGGCAGGTGATGGAAGAAAGCAGATGAACGCAAGCAAAAGACAACAGCATTTTTCGCACCGGGGGCGACTCGAACCAGTTCAGTTCGGTTCGACAGGGCTTCGACTCTGGGAGTCACAGAAATATGGCACAGGCTGAAATGCATGCAACTTTTAGAAGTCTGGAAAACGAGGAAAGCGAGAGTTTGAACCACAAAAACACTCTAGGCTGTTGTTGAGGGCGAGTTTTGGGGGGCTCTGCAAGGAGTTGGAGCTCGAAATTCAATTTCAATTCCTAATCTGTTGAACCCTCGGGGTCCCGCATGTGACGTAACTCTGTTCGGCACAAGCCAAAAAGGGCGTGGCAGTGGTTCGTGGGGGGCTATGCTGTGCAAGGAGCTGGAGCTTGGAATTAAACTTCAATCCCTAACACCTCTCAACTCAAACTTGCTTATATGTCGAACCCTCAGGGTCCCGCATGTAACATAACTCTGTTCGGCACAAGCCAAAAAGGGCATGGCAGTGGTTCGGTTTGTTGCCCCTTGGTGACGCTGTCCACCCAAATGGGCTCGACTGCTCTAACTCGAACCAAAACTGGCCAGATAGAGTGCAAGTTTCCATGTCATGTGCACATGACATGCAGCACAACAGTGGTGAGTAGCGCGAACAGAAAATCGTGAACACATGGCTGCTGCAAAAGATAGCTAGATGTCTTTTAGGTACTCTAAGCCCCATCAGCAATCTTGTGGTCTCGAATCTGTCTGTCTGGGTCTGGGATATTGCAAAGTCAAATTGTGAAAACCTATCTTTGTTAGTCCGCGGCCCAAATGTCAGGTTGCTTCACCAGAGTCTCGCAAACTTGAAAGAAGTGCATATACAAATTGGGACCACCGAGCAGTGAGCAAGCCCACCAAGGAGAAAAACGAGGACTAGCTGGGCGTGGCAAAAAACTAAATTCTGATGCAATTATGACAAGACAACATGGAAACTCGAATCACAACCCAGACTAGCAGAACTCGTCGAAACTTTTTAAAAGGTGAACAGCTTGGGCCACGGGCTTTTAAGGGCACAGACGGTCAAATTTTGGTCAATCGCCCCCTTAGAAGGTTAGGAAAGGTCGCAGGATAGGTTCCAAGACCTCAACATTCAATCCAAGAGTGCCGGGCGACATATATGAAGCCAGGGGACAGTCAATTCTGAGATAGCGACTATCCATGAAGGATTTGGACCAGGTGCTGAAGGTAAATAACGCAACCATTTCAGGATGGTTGTTAGTAAGAACCAAAGCATCTTCATAAGGTGCGTCTTACAAGGCTTCAAGTGAAGTGAGTGAAGCGAGGCTGTTTGGAATGGAGCCGGTTAGAAGGTTGTTCCCCAGATCCCTGTGTGGGGATGGGTTGAAAGTGGTGCATTTGTGCAAACTCTTTTGCTAGCCATGTCACACAGCCTTTTGAGCTAGGTATCAGCAAGCACGCTGAAATAATGAGCTCGGGGGGAGAGCTCTAGGAGGGAGGACGGAGAACTAGAAAAGGTAAATTACATAACAGAACTCAAAGCATACAATGGATGGATGAGAAGGAAATCAAGAAACGGCATTGTTTTCTATGTTTCGCGGTCACCAATTTTGAGTGACCTCCATTGGACGAGGTTTGTTTTTTGCATGTAACACCCAATCCACGAGGCTTGTTCTTTCTACACGTAACTACAATTCCATATGAAAAGCACTGCCTTGTGGTTTTGTCATGTCAAGCAACAGCCCTGGGAGCGGCGTTTGGGGACTGGATAGTTAAATAAATGCGTGAATGTGTGCCATCTCATGCAGGGTCATCAGATATGGTAATTAGATGTGCTTCAGTTTCAGATAATAAGATTCTGTAGATTCCGATCCACCTTGTCCTGCGCCACAAACGCAATCTTAGCTTGGCAATGCAACCAGCCAAAAAGGGTTACCATCGTTAAGCAGGTACCGAACTCGAACGGGTGGGAATCAAAACGAATCGAACTGCTCTACCACTAGTCAAGCCGAACCGACCGAGTTACTTCAAGTTGAACCAGATCTGGGGTTTGCGAGTTCGAGGTTTGCCTCATGTGGTCGAACCTTTGCTGGATTCAAGCATGCAGTTAGCCCCGAACCAGTTCAGGTTCAGTTCAGCAACAGCATTTTGCGCTGCAAAATTCTTTGCTGAAGTCCAGGTTTCCACATTGAACCCCAGCCACTTCGACTCAAAAGTGAAATTGCGTCCAACCGGCCAAGTCGAACTGAATTGAACGGTTCAACCTGAAGCATTTTGCGCTGCACATTCGAGTCAAGCCCCTTTTGTTGAATGTCTGCTGCTCAGCTCAAGTCAATTCAGTTCGGTGCTATGCTCAATGCCACCCTCTACCACCCAGTACCCCCTCCTCATAATAACTTTAATGGTGCGTCTGGGGGAGGAGTCTGGGGGAACGGGGAGTGGGGGAGGGGAGAAGGCTTGGTGGATCTCTGATGAGTCTTGCCACGGCCCTTCATGAGCTTGCTACAGGCCGGCCTCGAACCAGCCCCTCGAGAGCCCGATTCTACAAAGAATTTCCATCCCGGTCATACAAGCCAGCGTAACCTGCATTCCGGGCATCAGCCTATCTCAAAATGCTTACAGTATCTGCAAAGACGTCATGTTTCCAATCCCAGCTGGTATCGACCCTGTGAGTTGATTGAGGCTTATTCCTCTGTTAAGAAGAGAGATTGGCAGAACATAGAAATGAGAGCAGCAGCTTACAGAATGAATGCAAAGCCAGAGCAGGTGGAAGATCCGTGCATGCAGAGTGCAACGTGTGCTGCGAAGCCTATCCGTCATTCAATTGCTAAAACCTAATCGGAACATTCCGTGGCAATAAAGGAGAGGAGAACTCATGACGGGGGGACAATGCTGAGATAGGAAGTGGCATCACACGCAAGTCTGGATCATGGGAATAAAGTGTGATTCAAGCATCATGAAAGTATGAGCAACTTACAAGAATATGGTTCCAGTGAGCGTTGAGAGGCTGATAGGAATCGAGCCTGAGAAAGAATTGTCGTCAAGACGCCTGGGGTTACATTAGAAGAGACAGGGCGATGGTAACAGCGGGCAAGGCAGGAAGCAGGGCAGACATACACACGAGCACCAAAATTCTCCCAACAACACAAGGGATGGGAAGACCGGGAAGGGAATCGAGGCCTTTATTCAGTAATCATGGCTGGCCACCGGCCGGCTACTTGCAAGCAATGCTCCCGCTTGGCTCCTGGTCGCCTTCCGAACAAGGAAGGCTTGTGGGCGAACCTGGAAAGGCACGAGCTCCTCCCTGCACATGCTGCAATCACGCTTGTTCTTCCAGGGCATCCAAATCGTTACACTCATGGCCGAATGAAATGGAGGTGTGGGGCATGTTTTGAGCCCTGGAAGGTAGGGAGAAGAATTTGGAAAAGTAAACGAATGTACTGATGGTAGGAAGAGTGGTCCTTTCTACCCTATAATCTGACCAAACGACTCGTGACCGAGAGCCCCGGCTCGTGCACGCAACACATGAGCCGGTGGCTGCCATCGGCTCATTTGTCCGGCCTGTCACGAGCTACAAGTAAAAATATGAAGGGTTCATCGTTCCAGTCAACCCAAAAAATGAAGGATAGTCTCATCTTTCAAGTCGACTAAAAAACATGAAGGGCAGTCTCGCCTTTTGATCGACTAAAAAACATGAAGGGCAGTCTAGTATTTTGAGTCGACCCAAAAAATGAAGGACAGTCTCATTTTTCAAGTCGACTCAAAAACACGAAGGGCAGTCTCGTCTTTTGATCGACTCAAAAACATGAAGGGCAATCTCGTCTTTGAGCCTACTCCAAAACATGAAGTGCAGTCTCGTCCAATGGACGAGCTGGCTCGACTGGCTGGTCATTGGCTGGACCATTTGCTAAAGATTTCTCTGAAAAAGTCAATTGGTGGGTTGAATATTTTGGACAACCACCTTTCATTTTTTCACAATAAAAATACAATCAGGCCTCTAAGCCTGTAAGTTTCAAGTCCTCAATATTTTTGCTAACAGCTGAAACTGCAGCCTCGTATTGCCTCCCGCAACTGTTAGTGGTGCTCCTAAGGAGGCGACCACCGATGACCGCCACTTGCACTTGTGCTCTGTGTGCACGAGTTGACTAGGCCCTATTCATGACCTGCATGGCCCCAGTCACGCAATTGAATTTCTGGGGTATCGAGGGATCAGATAATTTTCAGTTCCTCCTGTCTGTCAACGGGAGTTGTGTGTTGGCCCCGTCCTCGCTTGGGCGGAGCCGACTTCGTGGTCGGATGTGAGGGGAGCAGCCGACCTGCAGCAGTGGGCGAGCTGGTTGACGAGGAGGTCGACCTGCACGGGGGCCACTGCATGGGCGCCGACTTCAGGGAGGTCGACCTGGGAAGTCGACCTGCGGTGGACGTCAACTTGGTGACGTCAACCTCGGGGCAGCCGGCTTGGGTGGTCAGCTGACAGGACCTGCTGGTCGACCTGGTGGTTGGTCGACCAGACCTGCTGGTCGACTTACTGGTGGTCGACCTGACCTGGTGGTCGACGAAGGAGGGGCCGACGTCGACCTCGACTCAGGACGCCGAGCAGTTGGGCGTCGAGTAACTGGGCGTCAACTTCGTGACGCCGACTTCGAGTAGCCGACTTGGGTGGTCGGCCGACAACTGCGCTGGTCGACATGAAGCTGGTCGACCAGGACTGCTGGTCGACGTGAAGCTGGTCGACCAGAAGTGACATCGACCTGGAGCTGGTCGACCAAGGGTGTGGTCGACCTGGTGAGGCCGACTGGAGGTGGCCGTCGACTTGGGAGGTCGACGGGCACGTACGGGAGCAGCTGGGCGACGTGGTTGCCCGGTCGACCAAGTTACCTGGGTGACGAGGTTCTGTGGAGGAGTGCGACGGTCGCCCAGGCGAAGTTGGCGAGTCCGACCTCGGTGGTGGTATCCCGAGGTCGACATGGCGGATCAGGTGGAGTCATCAGCATGAGGATGACTTGGTATGTGCGCTGTGCAGGTGACGAGGCTCAGCCCGCCAATCATCTGCGAGCACCTGCGAAGCGGGTGCGCTGCTGTTCTGTGTGAGCAGCGCTGGCACGCCGTCAACCTGCGACGTTGGCACGCAGTCGACTTTGCACTGCTGGAGCGCGGTCGACCAAGTCGTGCTGGAACGCGGTCGACCATGCTGCGCTGGCAGTCGACCGACCTGAATGCTAGCTCTGACGTAGTCTTGCCATGCCAACTTGATTGTACCATTGTTGTCAACTTTCTCTAGTGAAACTCTTGCCAACTTGCCCCGTGAACCAGCAAGCAGTGTGTGCACTAGGAAAACGACTAAGGACCAACGAACGCAGAGATCACACGAGCACCCGTGCCTAGCCCGTAGTCTAGTTCCCGTTGTAGTAGTTATCTCCGCACTGTCAGATCTGCATTTAGGTCTCCCACAGTGCGGAGTCCTACCTTCCAAATGCCTGTAGCATTCATTGCACCTCCATTCACTTATCAAACGGGTAACACCATGCTATTGAGGAGTTTCTCATAAAAAAGGTTTTCGCTCCCCAAAACCATGTGTGATTGTAACAAAGGTTATTCATAGCAAGCCTGGCAGGTTCGTGAATGCCACCATGAACCACAACCATTTCATCCCAATAAATCGACCGCCCCTTTCTGCACACAACTGAAATCCCTTACCAAACCCAACCTCACCTCCGCCACACAATCCTGCCGCACTCCTCACGCTCTGTTCTCTGCCGTCAATCACGTATCCTTCCCTTAACTAAACCTAGGGATGAGCAAGAGGCGAACACGAACATGTTCGCGTTCGCCCCTGCACGAACACCGCCGTTCGGCGAACCGAACACTGTTCGGTTCGCCGAACGACTTTCCCAAAAAAGGGTGTTCGCCGTTCGCCTGTGAAGGCGAACACCTTGTTGACGCAGGCGAACACGAACGTGTTCGTGGCAAACACGTTCGTGTTCGCCCCAGGACTACATTCACACGTTTGTGAACTGTGCATTGTTGACATTTGTTAGGTGGCTGTAAGCTCCAAATAGAGTAAAATTCAAATCGTTGCACATTCCCTCCCCCCACCCCCCAAGCCAGTCCCGCCCTGCTTCATCCATGCTAGTGCCAGCATGTGACGGCGAAAGGCTAGATCTGCACTTGAGCAACGGCGAAATGCTAGATCTGCACTTAAGCAATGGCGAAATGCTATATCTGCTCCTAAGCAACGGCGAAATGCTAGATCTGCTCTTAAGCAATGGCGAATGCCTTGATCCGCACTTAAGCAACGGCGAAATGCTAGATCTGCAGTTAAGCAATGGCGAAATGCCTTGATCCGCACTTAAGCAACGAAATGCTAGATCTGTACTTAACTAACTTCGAAATGCCAGATCTGAGCCCAAACACCAAGGCCCGCGACCTAAAAATTGGTCTCGGGCCTATTCGTCGACGAACACATTGGTGTTCGTCGAAGGCCCGTGTCGAACACGAACATGTTCGTGTTCGACGCGCCTCGGCCAGCTGAGTTGGGCGAACGGCGAACGTGTTCGGGCGAACACCGAACACGTTCGCCCCGAACAATTTAGGCCAAAAAAAAATCCTGTTCGGTTCGCCTCGAACACGTTCGAGGCGAACCGAACAGGAGTTCGTCACATTGCTCATCCCTAACTAAACCTAGCATCCTCCTAATTTTAGCCATACTTGGCGCAGTGCTCCTATGTGATTCAAGCACCTTGGAATTCGACCTTATGGGAATTTCTCACAGGAAAAAGAGTGCAGGGAGAGAGGAGAAGATGTTGGGAATGAAGCCATTCAAAGTGTTGTTATTGAGGCTCCTGTGCGATTTGAGTGGAAACACGTGGAAAAATGGAATCAGGAAGGCGGGGAAGTAGGAAAATTACGGCGACCGTACAGAGTGGGTGAAATTAAGACACGGGGATCGGGTGGAAAGCACTGTGTGGTGCAAAAATAGGAAAACAACGACCTGCCGTAAGGCGTGGTGAAGGGAGTGGAGGTGTAAGGCTTTGTAAGCGGGCGAGGAACACTGTTTCTGTTCGAAGCCCCAACGGACGACAAATTATATTTGCGGTTTCCATTTTTCATATTACTGTAGCTTCGTAACAGAAAATACGATGCTTCGCTTTTTCCGCATACGAAAGACGGCTCAGCATTGTATAAACTCGCTGGTTTTCGCGCGCCAACCACAAAGTACCCAATTGTTGGGATAGAATTTGAAGTTCCCATCTTTGAGGCCGTAGGATGAGAAATTACTAGACTCCCACCAGACTTATCTTCCAAACACCTTCTTCAAATGACTTGCCTTTCTCCTCTGCTGTGGGCCTTCTCCTTTTACGAAGCTTATTCCACCATGACTCGTCGACTCTCTTTGTTTTAGCGCACCCCATGACTAGCACATTCCGCTTTCTGCTAGTTCCTAAGCTTTGTCATCGTGTCCAAAGAGTATGATTCTACACGACTGTGTGGATGGTCCATCTCTCATTAAGCTCGTACTCCGAAAAGCATGAAGTCGAGCTCCTGGTCGGTGAGGCCTCCACCTTCAACGAGCAATCAGCGCAGCCTCGTTCGCCTAGATCAATGATCTCCTCAATGATATTCTCAGAGTTTTCCATGTTGACGAGCTAAGTTCAATGAGACCTAACATAGAATAACAGGCTCTTCATGTGTTCCATCCATGCTCGCCGCACTATGGACAACCTTATATTCTAACCGTGGAGCTGTATGAATGGTATTCGTGCAGTCACACTATCTTAAAGTTCACTTAGGAGGAAAAAATGTTGGAGTGTCGAGAGGCCAGTGATTGCACATGAAGAACTTATTTAGAAATATGAACAACCTTACTAAACCACAAAAAAACATTCGCACAAAAACATTTAGCAAGCTACAATCTAGGTGCGCTTTGCAAGTCACCAACGTCGGGTGAAAACTGCAAAACATGCTTAGTATATAATTCTTGCATACCTATAAAAAGGTAATTTCAACAACTCAAGTATACTTGACAAGTTTCTGTAACACAATGTTTCCGCAGTTATGGAAACGTCCTCCGGGTTCACTTTGTCCACGTTTTTCCAACGTGGAACACTCTACTAGTTTGAACCATTGCTGCCGAGGCTCAAAAATTCAATGTCTGAATTTCTTTCGATATTCTTCATATGGGGATAAACTTGTGGTTTCTCTGCACAGGTGTCCGTCAGTCGAGATTACTTTTAGCAAGCACACAGTTGGGTTCTTAGCAAGTGGACCCCACTCTCACTTCGACGAAGATGCCTTGCTGCAGAGAGCAACGACCCGCTGCAGAGTCACTGCTCAATCGTAACAATGGTCAGACATTAACTGCCCTAAAAGGTGCTGCAAAGAAGATGGGTGATGGAACTGTCCTGACGGTCGAAATAGAAAACACTAGACACACGAAGAAAAATGATGTGAAAAACGTTGTCACATGCAAATATTTACTGTGGGCACGTGTGATTCAAGCCCCATGACAAAACATGATCAAAAGGAAGCTTCTTACATTAACTTGAGCGCAGTGAGCAAAGAGAGGCTTTTTGGAACGGAGCCAGTCAAAAGGTTGTACCCCAGATCCCTGAATGGGGTCAAATGACAGTTGAGAGATAATATCCTTCGCATATTAGGTCACAGGACCTTCCATCACGAGACTTCACTCAAGACGCTGGAAATAAGGGCACTGGGAGTGAAAGCCCAGAGAGGGAGGGTGCTGGGGGAAGTGGTGGAGATAGGAGGTACGGATGCATGAGGTAGAAAACAGGGATGGTCAAGGGTAATGGGGGAAGTAATGGTACCTGCCTTATCCACAGAGCAGTAAACACAGCAAACCTTCAAAAATACTGCAGCGGCAACAGGTTTTATCCAAGCATCAGCCTGCATCACACGACTCACAATACAGCCAACGAAGCCATGTTCCCAATTCCAGCTGGAATTGTCCCCGTCATGTTATTCATGCTAAGGTTTCTGTTAAAGGAAATTGGAAAATGGTCAAGATCACAAAGGTTGGAGTGGAGAATAATCAAGATTCCTGTTCTGACAGCCTTTGCTCAAGATTGGGCAATTTAGTACAAATCAAGGGTGCAAGCTCAAAGGTCCTCTTGTCCAATAGGCGAGGGGCAGAATGAGAAGGGGCAGATTAAATAACAAAATGCAAATTGCAGACAGCATGAGTGCTGCATTGAAGCACGTCTTCCACGAGGTCAAGAAGTGGGAAACAATGCTGCCGCAACAATGGCTGGTGATGCACTCGCTCATTTCACCACTACGTCTGAAGTTCTCCTTGCTGATGCTGACTTCCTCCTCATAGGTTGCACCATGCTGTTGTTCTTCTGGCTGCTGCTCACACCCGTGCATCACAGCATATCTCTCCTTCTACCCCTGTCTCTGCCCTTGCCGTTTCCCATCTCCGGCTCTTGTCCCCTTTGCCCCTCTCCCATTGTCTGCGTCCACCTTTGAAATCTCACAGGCAAGTGTGATTCAAGCGCCATGGCAGCATAAAGTGTGGGAGCTCCTTACAGTGCAGCGAGGGAAGTCAGCAAGGTAAGGCTGTCGGGAACAGAACCAGAAAAAGAGTTGCTTCCTAGGGACCTGTGTGAATCAGTTGCAAGACTTAGAAATATTGTGACAATGGGCATATGAGGTATAAGCTCTGTCAAATGACACTCTACATCATAGACAAGCCGGATCATCAGCATCATCATGTGAGAGATACTTTTAAGCCAAAGAGTGCACTCCTCGAGATGTTGATGCCTTTGGAAATTGACTAGTGGGAGATTTTCCAGTAACTGCGTGCGCTTCATGGAAATTTTGCAGTTCCCTGTGGGAATTTTCACGCCTCTGGGGCCTCAATAGATAGTTATCAAGAAGAACGTTTCAAGAGAGGGTGGTGGGAGGGTCGGCGCTGGGGTGGAGGGGAAATAAGGCATGGTAGAAAGACTGCCGCCGCTCACCCGTATACTGACAACAGTTGTCCATCCAAGCCAGGAAATACTGTGTCCCAACGAAGCATCATCTTTGATCCTACAACAACTTACAGGACCGATAAGGCAGTGAGGCGTTCAAGTCCAGCTGGAATAGACCCGAAGAGCTGATTCTCACTTAGACGTCTGTTCAAGCAGTAGGAAAAATGTGCAGAGTGCAGTGGTGCTGAGCAAGATTCCAGTATAGCCAAGTGAGGTTGACTAATAAAGTCACCCTCGGGTCACGTTTTGGCAACAGCTGGTTACCACTCGAGCTCGTGACACTCAGGCACAGCTGATTTTAGTCGAACAGACGCCTCTGAGTTGCAATTGTCTTGAGCAGAACAAAGGTTCACTGAGCGTCTAAATCCTTTGAGACGAGGGAATGTCAGGTTGCGACAGCTACATTACATGAGGTATTTGCGACGAGAGAATACGGTTGGAGAGGTGAGCCATATGATGGTGTTAGTTCCTCATTTTCACATTAGCAAGGAATCCAACCATGGCTCGGTTGAAAGTCTAACCAGTTCAAGTCGAGCCAAACCGCGGCCTATTTTGGGCCACCTGGTTCGAACCCAACCAGGCCAGGTTGGAGTGGAATTGCATTCAACCTTGTATCACGGCCAAGTTTGATTCAGGCGCCATAGTAGCACAACCCGTCCCGTGAAAAAAGATTCTCACAATGCCGTTAGTCCCGTGAGGAGGGTGATGCTGTCGGGAATGGAGCCGGTCAAAGAGTTATAGGAGATATTCCTGCACCGGGTGCGTTGGAGGCATGGAGATGGTAACAGTGCGAGAGCCAGGAGGGAGAGCAGGCACACATAAGCTACACCTGGGGGCGATGAGACGAGCATGATGGGAAGCATGATATAAAGAAGGAAAAAACAAAATGAAATAGAACAAGCTGTGGCGTATGTTTCGAGATTGCAGCAAGAAGAAAACGCGGGCCGTTAGATTTCGCCTCGCTTGGAGGATGCCGCAACAATCCTCGGAGAATGGAGCTTTCATGTAGATAGACCAACAGAATGCATGCATGGCTGCACTTCCGGATGCTCGCCTTGGTGTGGAATGCCCCAAGTGCTGCATGCATTGAAGAGTTTCAAAGGGCTTGAAAGCTCTTTGTCATGTTCCTCGACAGAGGTCAGTTCAAGTTGGTTCAGCATGCAGCGTCTGACAACACAATTGAAGCCTGTCCGTCTGTCACTCAAGCACACATTGGCAGCTCGGCAGGGTGAATGAGAGGCATAAGGAGCCTGCTCCACACGACTTACACGTTTTTCAAGGAGCGCATTTTTCCAATAACAGCTGGAATGGACCCAGAGAGCTCATTTGTGCTCAACCTTCTGTTCACAGAGGGAGTAGAGTGGCGAGTTAACTTGTCTGAGAAAGCGGTGGCGGATGCAAGGAGGAGTTAGACCAGAATGTTGGTCACATCACATAGGCGAGGAACGAAATGGGAAACAGCCGCTTACAGCCAATCCATAGGCAAAGTCCATCTGCAATTAAGTGCTCAGAGCAGGCTTAGGGAGAAGGAGAAAGGCACTGGAGGAAACGGGGGCATGATAAGTGTGAGGTGGACTCATGCGAAAGCGTGATTGAAGCGTCATGGCACCTTGATCCCGTGGCAGCTTCTTACAAGTCCGAGAGAGACGAGAGCGAGGTGATGCTTTCGGGAATGGAGCCGGTCAAGTTGAGGCTAGAAAGATCTCTGTGATGGGAGAGTCAGGGACGTGGGTTGAGGACAGCGGTCAAAGCCGTGCGTGGAGCGAGCATGCAGACAATGGTGTGACAGCCTTTGTACTCCAAGGTGAGAAAGGCAACGTCATGCGGACGACACGGGTCGCAGCTGCGCATCCCGCTGGAATGATCGCTGGGAACATCTGAGGTTACCCCTACTAGGGTTACATGTAGTACATGCAACTCCCGCACACATTGCACCGTTTCAGCAGGCACCAGCCTGCTCCCATTCCAAGCTGCACGACGGGTGCACTCACAGCATGGAAATCATGCCTCTGCCGTCACATCCAATGCGGGTGCTGAGGCTCAACACGTTACAGTCCGCTCCTTTCGTCCACCCCTCGATCGTCACTCCCCATGACTTCTGCAAGCCGATGAGAACCGCCGCTGCCAGTTGGAGAGGCGAGGGGAGCAGAGGAGAGAACGCACAAGCGAGAAAAGGCGCCATTGTGGTGTCCTATGGGTACAACCTGCGATTCGTTTATCATATTCATCTCCTTTTGCAATCGCGGCACCGGCGGTGTCACGTCACCGCTTAACCCGTCGGCAGCAGTGCGCGAGGGATGATGAGCGCGGTACCATCTACAACAGTTTCACCTACTAAGCAAGTAAGCCATATTCTATGCGTTGGCTCCAAGGCAACGGCGGTATCATGTCATCGACACACCCTAACCTGAGAATCATGATGAAACGTGCTACCAGTCTCATTCGCAGCAGATGCAAACAATTGAAGTCCGCGCGAGGGAGCGAGCGCGGCTTTCGGCCCGCTGGGGCGCGTGCCCAAAACGAGCGCTGCGTTTGATGCGGACCTTGGGAGTCGAGGAGCAGTTCCGCACTGCGGCACGAGGTGGCGAAGGCCGCAAGCCAAAGCGCGAAGGGAGCAAGCCATGCTCGCTCCGTCGCTGACTTGGGCTGCGGCATCTGTGGCGCGAAGCGGCCTGCTGCTAGTAGTTAGTTCGAAAAGCAGCGGAAAATCGAGGAGCTTGTAAGATTGAGATGGCATCATCCGAGTTTTGAAGTTGACTCAACTGAGCTACGGTACTCAGCTGACAAATCAGCGGCGCTGATGCAGGGGCCCCCTCTCGCCCAGCAGGATTCTGATCCGCGTCATCTCTCACCCCACCCTACATGAGGATTGGCTACCACCCACAGTCGCACCTTCTCTTGCTACAAGTGGTCCAAACGAAATCACTGGCGATGATATGTTTGGCAGGAGGTAGAAGAACTTGGCTTAGAAAATGGGAACCGATATGGGGCGGGGACAGTGCTGGTTGGGGTGGGGGGAAGAGGAATGATGGATCAGCGCAAATCTTCCGCCTCGGACGGCGTGGGGGAAAGCTGGAAGGACGTTACTTTAGCATATTAGGAACTGTCCAAACCCAAGAGCAGTTAGAACCACTCTATCAAATACTCTGGTTTTTTCCTTACGTTACCCCTTCCATCTGAAGTGGGCAGGCTGATATTTTACAAGTCCTGTTTTTTTAGAGAAGGGATGAATGATACTTATATAGTATGGTGAGAAGCACTGGCATTCTTCTTGTCAAAACAAGGATACCATGTTGAAGTCTATTCTCTACACGTGCCCTGCTTGCAACCGAAAGCTCGGAGGACGAAAATTTGCAGCAATATATGAGGAGTGATGGTTGTTTTCCTCCTAAGCTCAGAGCCTTTGGCATGTTCGAATGGAAGAACAATTGCCATAGATTGTTTTGACGTTTTTTTTTAATGTGTCAAGTGATCTCGTTTTTTCTGTTCACAACTTGTCGAAACTAACAATAGATTCTTCCGACTTTATTTTCTAATGAGACCGCCAGATTCAGTGCTGGGCGTCACAATGTGTAGAAAAGGTAACGAATCAAGATGAACTTGAAAAGGAGGTTCAAAATATCATGTTTAGAATTAGATGGTCATATAATATGCGTTACACATTTATAATATTCTGAAATATAATTATTAAGATCGTTATCAACATAGTTTTTTCTACATCACAGCATTGTTTCAGTTAAGCGGTTGTGTTATATATAAAGCTGGAGGTATATATCAATGTTTATTTGCATATTGAGTATTTATCCATAGCTGACTTATTACTTTAGTATCGGTACTTAGCAACAACAGAATTGGTCAAATCAAATTGTTTTGTTTTAAGGTTTTCTTGGTATTTTATTTAATTCATTTATATTTGTTTTGAGTGGCACTATGATAATCAGCCTGTGCATATTTTGAAGTGTTAGTCATGTGAAAATAGAAACGAGGAATGAATGAACTAGCAAGCAAGTGGGTACAAGTAGGAAAACATAGAAGTGTTGTACCCTATATTGACTACCCCACTACAGCCTACACAGACTATGTCATATAAGTTTGACACACCCCCATAGGCAAAATGAGGGAGAACAAGAGGTCACAAGACCAGTCAAGAAAGGCAAAGCAAGCTCAGGGTGGATCACGACGTCACCACGCATTCTGAGCATAAGCAAATGGCCACAAGGCTAGTTCACATGCAGAGTTATATAAAAGAGGACAAAAAATACAGTGATCACAACCTAGCAAGTATAAGCATGCAGGTAAATGTATAGAGATCACAGTACAAGCAGAGTCAAGAAGTAAGCAAGTGAGGTCCAGTGGGCACAAGGCCTAGAACAGTACAGAAACGCTGATGTTTACAAGGCTGAAGTGCCTTGGTGAAGACATAAGCAGTGTTGGCCCGAGAGGCCACGTAAAAAAGACGAAGCTGACCACGCTGCTGCAACTCCCGATCAAGGAAGTAGCGCAGAGCGATGTGCTTCGTCCTGTGCTCCAGTCTGTGCTCCTGACACAAGGCAATCATGGCCTTGTTGTCGACGTGAGAACGAGGCGGCTCTCCCAGGTCGGTCAGCAGGTAGGTTAGCCAGCGTAACTCCTGTGCAGCCATGGCCCCTGCGTAGATCTCAGCCTCACAGCTGGAGCTGAGAACACAAGACGAGTGGGTAGATCGCCAAGAAACAGAGAAGGAGCCAAGGCTGAAAGTGTAACCCTGTGACGACCGCTGCGTAGCCAAGTCGTCAGCCCAGGAAGCGTCTGCGTGACCATTTAGGACAACTCGAGCCCGTCCTCCAAGCACGAGCCCCATGCCCGACGTACTACACAAGTAGCGCAACACCCTCTTAGGTCCATCCTTGTGCTCCTTCCTATGTCTTCGAGGAGCAACATAGCGTGCCTGGATGCTAAGAGGGTATGCCAGGTCAGGTTGAGTGCAGGTCATCAGGTACATGAGGCAGCCCACAAGCTCTGGATACGGGCCACTCGACTCTACGGACTCATCCGAAGGCACAGCTGAGAGCGAGTGGCGAGTAGGCAGAGGAGTGGGATGTGGCGAGGATTACGTGAAGCCGAAGCGCTGAAGGACCTGCTGCACCATGTGTGACTAAGTCAAAGTAATGGTGCGCTGTGCTCTGTCCCGGGTGATCCGCAAGCCAAGATAGCTGCGCAGCTCACCCAGGTCTGTGCACGTGTGTCTCTTCTGCAGCTCCGACTTCACGTGGGCGAGTCCCTCAGTGTCAGAAGTAGCAAAGACCAAGTCGTCGACGTACACGAGGACGTAGAACGGCGGCAGAGAGGTGTCGGTGCGTAGAAACAGTGACGGGTCAGCAGTGGAAGGAGCAAAGCCAAGAGCCGCAAGGGTCGTCCTCAGTGTGTCGTGCCACTCACGGGGTGCCTGACGGAGACCGTAGACTGGCCGCCGGAGGCTCCACTGGGTACCAGGAGGGAACAACCCAGTGAAGCCAGGAGGGTGGCGCAGCCAGATCTCCTCGTGCAGGCTGCCCTGTAGGAAAGCAGCGCTGAAGTTGAGAGAGTGCAGCTCGTAAACACGCTGAGCAGCTACGTGCAGCAGAACCCGAAGAGTGGTCATCTTCGGGGTGGGGGAGAAGGTCTGGAAGAAGTCAACTCCCTCTCGCTGACTGAAGCCTCGTGCAACGTAACGCGCCTTGAAGACAGGCGGAGAACCCGGCGGCCGCTTCACCCTGAAGATCCACATGCCACTGACGATGTTCGCCCAAGGCGGGGAAACCTCATCGACGTAGGTGCCTGTGGACTTCCAGGAAGCCATCTCTGCGTCCATGGCTGCGTGCCACTGAGAGGAGTAGGGACCCTCTATTGCCTCTGCGTAAAAGCGCGGGGTCGGGATGTCTGGTGCATCCGGGTCTCCCTCAGGGGCAATCAGCATGGACATGAGATGAGGCAAAGCAGCGGCAAAGCACTCAAACTCCTCCTGCCTGTCCTCAAGGACGTCCGTGCTAAGAGCACACTCACCCTCGACGCACGGAGGACAGACAGACTCAGACTCAGACTCAGCAACAAGGCGAGCGGCGTAGTCTAGACGACAGGTGGCAGCAAAGTCAACAAGCTCAGCAACTAGGGCAGACGCAGTAGTGGACTCAAAGGAAGGGTCAGTGACAACAGTGGCCAGGAGACGCGTGACAGTAGGACTGGCAGCACAAAGGGAGTCAGACTCCGGGTCCGGACCGTCAGCAAGAGAGGACGCAGGAGGAGATGGCAAGGGGACGCGCAGTGGAGCAGTGGAAGGACGAAGTGCCATCTCGTACGTGCCTGGGACAGGAGGAGGACGCAGACGCGGGACACGATGACCAGTGCGAACAGCGCGAACAGGCGACGAAGGACGAGACTCAGGCGACGCAGGACGAGACTCAGGCTCACGACGCTCCGTAAGACCTCTAGTCGGCCCAGAGTAAGGAGAAGGACCAGGCAGTGGAGAGGCTGGCTGTAGCTGCGACTTCGTCGGGGCAGGCTGTGGACACAGTAAGGGAGTGGGACGAGTAGAAGGTGGGAGGTCAAAAACCTGCTGAAGAAGTGGAACGAAGTACGGCCGTGACCGCGCAACGCCTCCAGAACCAGCAGAGACAGTACCAGGACCCCCAGCTCCAGGGTCTGCAGCTCCGACTCCCGCAGCACCACCAGCTCCAGCACCTCCAGCAGCTCCAGCTCCAGTAGCACCTCCAGAAGCGACAACACCAGCGCCTCTGGCTCCAACTCCGGGAGCACCACCAGCCCCAGCAGCTCCAGCATCTCCAGTACGAGCACCTCCGGGACCAACGGCTCCAGCACCTCCAGCAGCACCAGCACCAGCAGTACCTCTAGCAACTCCAGCTCCGGCAGCACCTCCAGGTCCAGCAGCTCCAGCTCCTCCAGCAGCGCCAGCACCAGCAATACCTCCAGCAGCTCCAGCTCCAGCAGTACCTGTACCTGCAGCACCTTGCTGGCCTCTCCAGCGGCGAGCAAACCACTCGCGCAGCTGCGGTGGAGAGAGAGGCTCCCACCGAGATGAGGCACCTGCAGGAACTCCAGCAGACTCAGCACCCCCAGTCTCAGCAACCGCAGGCTCAGCACCTCCA